GGTGTGCTTACGCAATAAGCAAAAACTAACCAGTATAGTATACTGTTTTTATTTCTATTAAAGATCTTTTTTGACCATTAGAGGAAACATCGGATGCAATGTTTAAATTAATTATTTAGAAACATCAACCAATCACTAACGGCTTCAGTAAATACTGCTTGAATTTGAGTAGGTACGTGCCAGCACAAGTCTTGTGCTATAGTCCAACAATAAGCAACTTATGAATCTGGTTCTGTTCTATGCGAAGGAAAATATTCTCCTCTGTATAAGAACGGCAGCGAGTGCAGCTCTACTGTGGTTAGGTAAACACTGGGCACGCGTGTTTGTTATTGATTGGACTGATTTATGGAGGCCGAGCGGAACCTTTGTAACAATTACCGCTTCGAACGTACAGAACGAATATTACGCAGTTCCGCAACAATATCATATTTTACTATTACCTAATTTAAACGACGTTTATATTAATAAACCATTTCACAATTAGAGGTCAATTAATAAACAATGTAGCACTCTCTACATTGTTTATTAATTGTGAAATCATTTGCATTGCTTTATGGACACAATAAAACACAAGAAAATATATTTAAAAGTGGTAAAAATTTACCACACTATGACCAAAAAAAAAAAAAGAGTAAAATAACTAACAAATTCAAATTCAGTTTTTATTCCACCACTAAGGGTGAGTGGGGGAGTTACGGGCAGCGGATATGAAAGATACTTTGTATGATACAACTAACAATCTAGCCCGAAACCGTTGTACAGTGAACGGCGTAGTGAAGTACCGTATATAATACAAGGTATGCTTAATTGAATATTTGTTAACAATTTTATGAGCGTCGTTCTTTATTAGTGATCGATGGTGTCGGCTCATGACGGACCGTTCGAGTGGGAATATGTCGGACGTCCGTAGTTACCCTTAAACAGTTAAAATTTTATCATTACTGGTACAAATTAATGTAATCAATAAAAAAATGAAATTTGAAGAGGAAGAACGTGGATTCTAAGACTACGTGCCTAATCAAAAATGATCAAATGAACGATTCTATTTTATTCGATTTAAAAATTTTACTTTTTTGAATATGAGAATTTATGGCTGACTGCTTCAAGTAAAACTTTATTAGATAATAAACAGCATTCAATTTATTTGATTTCATTTTAAATAGGTTTCTCCTTAAGTGTTCGTAATCACCTCACTCTCGTATGTGATAGGTGATTGGTATTGACAATACAGGTCACTGTTTTAACGGTTTAAAAGGAACATATAAAAATTTAGCTGCGAAAATTGGAATTTTGACTATTCTTTTGGGCTTAAAGGTGTACATTCTTGCAAGTTTTGGTAGACGGTGTTTTATAGGTACAGTTTATACGTAGTGAGCAAGGTTAGGTAATACCTACAAGTTTATTCGCATAACACAACTAGTCTTTGTCGGCCCATAAAAGTCGATGGCTAGACAGGGACCTCTACCGTTGCAGGGAGGTCTTGGCTTATTGGCGTCGCTTGGCAGGCGGATCGACATCGAAGTGCCAGACGTCTAGCAGACTGTTGGTAACGGGCAACAGCGTCACAGATGCACACACACTGTTTAATTATAGGCAACTTCTTAATTTGCCACAAAGGAGTATAGCCAATAATGTAGAAACTGTTACTAGGTAGGACTATAAACTAATACTAGAGAAAAAGCTTGCTATGTAAACTTACACATTATTATGATTAAAATTTAATGTTGCCATATCTCTAAATCGTCGACTACTTATTTTATTATTAGTGTTTCGTATGTTTGTGTGCATTAGTAGTGTTCTGATTTCTGTAACCGTACAATTCAGTGTAGTTAAGATGTAATTGCAATCTACAGTTTCCAAGAGGCAGGCGAGGAAACATTTTAACAAAAACCGCGCAGTAATGTAATAAATGTCAGATCACAAGCGACAAACAAACGGTCGCCAACAGGCGGGCACGGCGGCACGGAGCAAGGGTCACGTTGTGGGCACACAGCGATGTTTACAGTAACTGCGCGCACACAATAGCCCAATTACTAACAGTGTGCAAACAGCGCGCACCGCACCAGGATAATTGATCGAGTAAACAGCGCCATTAGCGGCGGCCGACCGAAATAGCCGGCAGGATAACGCCACGCCTCGTCACACACATGGACTTCATTATTTACTATTCCATCTGGTGTATATAATATTATCGTACGCATATGTATATCTCATTGTTGTCTACATATAACTGCATTTTATAAACTGTAGGCATCTCCGTGTGGACAGGTTTTGCTCCTAATCATCGCACTGCACTTGAGGGTTAATAGGTATAATTGCAGCGCTAGGTAATTTTACTTAGGTCATATTGCTTTATATCACATTTTGTCACAAAATTAAATGTTTTAAAGTAATAACTTACTTGCTAAAATCTAACGTTAAATTTTCTCTCCGATCATGTACCAACAATTAAAAAGTTACAGTAACAGTTACAGATTCTGGTTGTGACTAAAGTTGATATAATATACATTTAAAATATAAGTATCTATAGAATTTTGTTCACGTTATGTTCCTTGCTTAATATTAATACCACCGACTAATGCAAATATGCTAAGATAAGAAAACTAAAGGGAATAGAAAATGCTATTAGAAGATTTGTTTTAGTAAATTACAATATGAATCAAGAGAATAAGAAAATATTACAAAATGGTGGTGTTGCACAAAGTGTAATATTCCTGTGACAATCTCGATGACGAGGAAAGAATTTGAAAAAAATATATTTTTAAGTTATATCATCATCATTATTTCATATTTTCTAGTAGTAAAGCACTATTATATAGAACTACACGATCCTTAGAAAGAGATTTTTTTTATAGAAAAAAATATATTTTTAAGTTATATCATCATCATTATTTCATATTTTCTAGCAGTAAAGCACTGTTATATAGAACTACACGATCCTTAGAAAGAGATTTTTTTATAGAAAAAAATATATTTTTAAGTTATATCATCATCATTATTTCATATTTTCTAGTAGTAAAGCACTATTATATAGAACTACACGATCCTTAGAAAGAGATTTTTTTATAGAAGAAGGGGCAAACGAGCATGCGGCTCTCCTGATGTTAAGAGGATATAGTAAGTCAGCTCAGTATTTTATGAATAACAGCGGTTTATTGTTTATTTTGGAGGTAACTTTGGATTTTTTTTCTATAGAGAAAATTTTACGGAATCGTGTTTTCTTCTAACATAATCCTTAACATTAATCCTCAACTTTACCATATATTTATTTCAAAATTAATGCTGCAATATTTTCGGCATAACGGAGGATCTTGCTAAGCCATTTGAGGTTATATTTCCCCTTAAATGACTACCACCGCCCATAATCAACCGTAACACCAGGGAAATTGCAGGTGCGACTTTCAATACATATTTTTGTTTTCTTGTATCAGATAGGAAATACAAGGAAATTAAAGAAAAATTTTTGCATTGACTAAATATGAAAATCTAAATTAAATATTAGTCTTAAAATGTCATTGGACGCAAAAATTTAAGAAAAGAAATGTTTGAATTTGTCATTAAAACAGAATAGAGGATCATTCATTACTTGTCAAACGTAATTGTTAAATGAGGATTTAGGTATTAGCTGCCAGGCTTAAACATCACTAGTTTCTTTAGTGTATAAAATTTAAAAAGAAAAATATATTAATATATACATTTTTGTGAAACCACATTTCTAATATTTCGGGAAAATGTAAAATAACATTTGACGGATAAAAAAGATAATTAAAGTTATAAGTTGCAGACTTTAAAAAAGCATTAAGCGTCGCTTTTTATTAAACTGCAGAAAGCTTTTTATTCTCTTGTCCTTTAAGTTGAATTATATATAATTATTAATGTATACCATCAGTCTATCCAACATTATTTATTTAAAATAATAATAATAAATAAAACGATATACATCTAGTTTAAACGTAAAAGTATTTGCAATTGACTACATTTAAGACCGTCCGTAAAAGTACGCGTACTATAAGCTGGTTGCAAATTTAAACTGAATGAACGTAATCAGCAGCTGATAGCGCAAGATTGTTGTTATCATACTATGTTGTGGTCGAGACGCTTATCTGAAAAGCTTCGAACGCAGATGGATTACTGTTACGTTTGTTAGTGAAAGTTACGTCCAGAGAGCTACAATAACTAACGCAAGGTTCGGAGCATAACTGGTTTATGTATTTTGTACATTCGTTTATACGTGGTAGAGCCACGCTGCAGCTGTATTATCGTTGTAGCACAAATGGGTCCGCTCACCCGGGGAAGGACCACGCTCTCACAGAATACGCGCGTAAAGTAGCAGCTTAATACGGCTGTGTTTCATATGGTGAGTGTAGAGATCCGGAGACCCTTTTTTACTGAGAACACGGCATTCCATCTTAGTCCTCAGGGGTGACAACCCATCTGCGTTTTATTATTAATCGAAGATAAATGTAGATGTCTATGGACCACAGCAACCACTTACCATCAGGTGGACTGTGTGCTCGTTTTGTCACCCTAATTCTAAAAAAATATCGGTTATACCTTTTAATCAATTCAGTGCTAGATGTCTGTCGCTCCTGTAGCGGTGCGCTTGCAGGAAAGTGAAACAGACGGATATCAAGTAGGTGCCTATTGTTTTTACAGAATAAGGGGGACAAACGAGCACACAGTCCACCTGATGGTAAGTGGATGCTGTGGCCCACAGACATGTAAGTTTAATCTCGATTTAAGAATCAAAATGCAGATGATTATTACTCCTGAAGACTACGATGGAATGCCTCATTTTCAATAAAAAGGGTCTCCGGTACTCTGCACTCACCATACGAAACACAGCAGCATTAACTGCTATTTAACGCTGATATTCTGTGAGGGCGTGGTCCTCGTGCTACACCTAGGTATAACAATTGCAGTGTGGTTCTACCACGATGATATGGGTTACAAAAATGCAGACTTAACAATTTGAAAAGGGGCTAGTGTGGTGCACTTACCCGTCAGTGTGGTGGTGCTCGTGCGCGTAGGCGGACGGCGCGTACTGGTCGTAGTGCAGGCGCGGGCTGCGCTCGGGGCTGCGGCCCTTGAACAGCGGCTCGTCCAGCGCGTAGACCTGCATGTCGCGCGCGTGTGCCGGCCGCAGCTCCTGGTAGCTGGCGGCCGGGGGCGGGCTCTCCGCCGGGCCGCCCGCCGCGCCCTCTGCGACAAGCACGCGCTCATTGGCTGGCGCCGCCCCGCCGCGGGACGCACGCCATGTATCGACACAAATATCGACATTGCATCGATACACTCGCAAACTTGATACGATATTACACGATGTATCATTGAATTAATATGTACTACCTACGTACTCACACCGCGTACTAAATTGAAAGTGTGGGCCGCGAGGTAAAACACACAGAGTACTACCTTTTATGGCACTGGCTAAATAAGTTTGTTGAAGTCCCCGGGCGTGTAGCAAACAACCGTGTCTAGACGTTTCTTCTAGTAGGTACGTAGTACATATTATTTCATTGGAATGTATAGACCAAATTATATGGAAATATTACACGTCAATCAGAGTGGACTGAAAAACTATTTATCATGTCACCGGCTTTACTTAAGTTTTATTAAAATATCACTTTATGTAATAAACATTAAAGATATAAACTGTCTGAATAAAGAATCAAACCTTACAGTATCGGAAGATGTATGTAACTATCGATATATTTATCGGCATCAGAAGCTCGCATCCCTAGCCAGGGACTCGGACTGACCTTTCAGGCAATTGTTGTTGTTCACTTCGTCGATGAGCGCGTCCAGCTCGATGGTCTCGGCGCGGTGCCAGGGGACGGACCACGCGTCGTGCAGCATGCTCACCGGTTCACTACGTACCGCGACACGGATGCGACGTGCTCCTCGCGCGGCGGTCGTGCGGACACTGGCGCTGGCGGAGCGCAGCCGCTGCGCGCGCGCAGCCCGGGGCGGCGGGGCGGGGCGCGACCAGCCGCACGTCGCATCCGATCCACTTTTATTCAAGAGGCAACCAATGGGCTCCCGGCCGATGGCCGGCGGGGTGCGAACGCATTATTCCATTTATACATACTCTTTTTATTGTTCCACTTTGTCTTTTAATACCTTCCAGCATGTAAGTAGTAGTTTAAAAAAGAACATGACAGGATCGAAGTCGAACATACAGATGCAAATAACGTATCTGACAGTTTACTAGCTTTTTATAAAAAAAAAAGTGGAAAGCGAAACAACCGACATGATGTACTATCAAGTGAGAGGCTCCGATGGAACTGACGTCTTGCTCATTAGTAGTTACAGGAGATGTGTCAGCTGCGCTATCAGGGCCTGCAGCTGTTATCGCGTTGATCGCTACGTCTCCACAATAGGTTCAGATAAGACAGCCGCGACCTACCGCTACACTTTGACACATACGCCTGCGTGCACCCACATTAAATATACCCTGATCCAACAATCTGCCGCGGCAACCAGCACAAATGTCAATTACTTTATTGACTTTTAAGATAAACAGCGACTTAGAATTTTAACCAAATTAATCGGCAAAACGTTGCTCCTTACTATGTCATGTACAGGTCTTCAATTAAATACAATTTTTTTAATTAAGATAAACAATCTGCGTCGATAGGTACATCAGTATTCATCAGTATTTTAATTCTCTTTTTATGCAGAGCTATCTGTTTCTAAATCGCAACAATTGGCTGACGTATCTTTGCAGAGCTTAGAGCACCGCATTTACTTACTTTTAAATAATTGGTAGGTAAGCACACAAAATCAATGGAGATCTCATATAATAGCGTTTAAAACATTTGGGAAAACGACAAAGCATAATCTATTATTTTTATGTACTAGCAACCCACCAAGATTTCGCATTATTTTGACTTTAGATAATCATCAAAGATGATTTATTTTACAACAAATTAATAATAGTTTGTCCATTTCTATACACATAGTTATGGGCAAGACTCAGTATCTGTTCGTAATGCCTCATTACAATCAGTTCAGCTCATCCTGAAGGTTAACCCGGACAAAGGAACAAAATTGTTATTAATAAAATGTTAACAGCATGCAAATTGTCTCCTCAGCTCAATAAAAAGCAGATATTTCAATATTATAAGATAGTAAGATACTTTAATTTTATTTGCTACAGATTTAGAACGAGATGTATTCTTGGTTTAAAAGTTTCCATCGACCAAAAGCAACATTGGCAGCTTTGATAGGTTTTAAATAAATTTAAATCCAAATGAAAATAAAATATTACCGAGTAATCATGAGGGGCAATTTACCAGTAGTAAAACTTTTCATCCCAAAAAAAATAATTTGTCTAGTGACTTGCAGATTTTACTTCATTAACTAAAAAATTAAGAAAAAAAAATTGAATATCTTCACGCCATCTAAAGATTTATCTAAACAGGAAGCGTCCTCCATTACAACATATTACAGCTCAACATAGGTATTCAACAGTTTTAGCAATGACTAGTAAGCACAGGTACATACCTACATTGTATCTGTCAAAGTAGGTACAACACAATCGGATACTTTCGTCCCTTGATATTAGCGATGGCACGGATTAACTATGATGATATGAATTCAGCAGAAAATTAAAAATAGGTATTTTACTATCGATATATTTTTATAACTTTCAAGATTTTAAAGTTAAGTAAGATGTTGGTACCTATATATGCTTCTGTAGGTACATGAAACTACTGTGAATAGTAAGAGTTACTTTTATTAATATTTAACTAATTTTATTTAATTGATGTTTAAATAATTTTGTAGTTTTGATTCTTGTCAGTAAATTGCTCAATAAAACTATTTGCAGATCAGGTAAAAGTTATCAATCAAATAAATCGCTAACCGATTATAAAAATAAAACAATTGAACTTATTTTATACCACGGTATTTTTAATTTCTTATGTTTTACTTTATACTATGAATTATTATTATCTGATGGTTAAAATCAGTACCAAAACGACCCATGTATTGAATTGCTTCCATGAGATACATGATATGTGAAGGATGTTTTGATGAAAGGCATTACATTTGGCAATCAAGTGAATATACAAATAATGTTCATTTCTATTATTATTCTATTAAATATAAAAAGTTTTCGTATTTAAGTTAATCATGATTTTATCGTCATTAAGAATTGAAATCTTACAAGATAATTTTTGAATGTTGATATTCTTATCTGAATACATATATAGGTAATAATAAATTTTCGAGTTTATTGAAGGAAAAAGTGATTTGTTGGCGAAAAAAATAACAGAATAGGGTATAATTTGAGACGTCTTAAGCGATAGAATATGGTTTAAGTTGTGAAAAAATGACCTCGTGCGCCGACCTCACACCCGATGGAATGGAATTGGGAAAGTTTAGGACTACTATAAATTAGTGGAGCGATCATCCGTGCATGTCATCGGGGTTGTAAATTTAACAAGTTTTCCCTGAAGCGCACATAAAGATGTCGCGAGCACATGCGGCCACAAATCAAGCGACCTCGCCCGCTCCGGGAACCTATAAATTTTATCGCATTAGCGGAGATGCGGCGCCCCGCGGCGTTTTGTTTTGCCAACATGTTGCAGCCCGCCGCATCCCGTCGACATTCACGAGATAATACACTACAATAGAGGCCAGCACTGGAGCTGGACCCCGTGCCGTCGCCACAAGGACGAGGGATGCTTTTGTCGCCGTCGCGCTGTCTCCCTAAGCCTCTCACCAGACCCGTCCGTAGATCTGCACCCACAACATGTGTTTGTTAATCCGTTTGTGTGTTTGGATTAGCGGAGTCAAAATATTTTCAAACTCTTGTCATTGTAAACCTAAACACAACAGAGCGCTGTTGGGTGAAAATTATTGTGGGCTGTTTCGGAAATGTCACATGAGCCGACAGCGGCACCGAGAGAAAGAGAGCGTTTTTATGTAACAAAATAACCGCGTGGACATGACGGCTACACTGCACATGTGGTGAAATTCTGATTATGTTTTATGATTTATGTCCTTTATCATGTAACATTTAATTCTATAAATTCTCTTTATTTATATTATTTTTGGATCTTTATAATATATTCAGAATGCTTCAATTTGTTTAACGTTGTCTTTCGTGTATGTTTACAGTTTTTACAGTTCTCCTGTCATTTTAACAGTAAAAGCTGCACTTAATAAAGATAATATATACACTATAAATCTTCATACAACAATTATTACCCAAAACATTGAAAACCAACGTAGCCTAATTAAAGCACTGCAGCGTGCAGATCCCACGCGTCAGGTACGTGTGACGTCACCAGGGCCCTACACGAAACCGACCCCGCATTGTTCCGGCCTCCACTCGCGCACAATGCATTTCTCACCTGACGCAGCGACCCCTTTATCTTGAAAGCTAGTGCAAAAGATTATGTCTATTCAGTCGCGGTAACAATTCCAGCTCGTGGTGGAAATAGCTAATGACTCGTGTTCGTGGAATGCGCCGAGTCGAAAGCACTCGGACTGGAGCACGACAGTTAATGAGTGCACTCAGCAAAAATATATAATTAGCTAATTAGCGGAATGAACGACCATTGCAAGAAGCTTAGGACGAGCATCCACAAACCATTGCCAAGTAACAATTCCTGGAGTTTCTAAACACTGAATGAAACTAATTTTTCGGATTTGTTCGCGTTTAATGTTGATTTTTTGATTCCGTACATTTCTGGGTCTTTACAGCACTCATGGCCAAGGGGTAGCCCCCTGAAGTATAAATTATTTAATACAAAATGAAATAATTGAATTCGGCACATAGTTAACTAAATTTTGCGTAATATAAATACAAAAAAAAGAACCTGCTGTCAAATTGAGAAACTCCTGTTCTGAAGTCAGATAAAGTCAAAATTGGACGTGACAAAATTAGTATTTTCATCTCATCAGTCGTACATTTTATTTGATACCTACTGAGAATAAAGTGAACAATTAACATGTCCTGGAGACTGATAAGTACTATACTTACTTATCTTTTTAACTAGTCACTGCGCCTGATCTCTCTCAGGTTGTGTCGAATTACCGGGAATAGAAAATACACCTGTGCTCGCGCATACACTTGGGTACTATAATCGTGTCCTGCGCCGATGGCTAGTCTCCGTTAAGGCTGGTCGCCGTGACCGAAATTACGTGTGGAGGACATTATTATTCCGTCTAGCTTCTATAATGTTGTTCCTGTTAAACAGTTGGCTTTTGCTGCTTCAGGACTCACGGACTTAGACTTTTAAGGTTGATGATGATAATGGTGATCATGATATCTATTATTTCTGAACGTTACATTTTCGCAACAATGTCTACCTATTTGAATATTAGTGTACAGATGGGAGTCTCTGTCAGAAACTTCGGGACAATAACAGTGCTTTCAAAAACCTACAATGTGTGTTTTTGAATGGAATAATATATATTTTATTGAATAAAGATTACAAGCATACTTAGGAAGAACCGGCAGAAAACATTATAAAAACAGCAGTATGTCGCTACCATATCGATATTTGTTTAATAAAAATTTTAAACTTATTAAAAGCATAGGTAGTGTAGGTACCCATGGGACTTTGTTGAGCGTAGGTATACATTGCGCAAAAAGGAATTAACGACTCTTTGAAATCGAGTAACTGCATACTAGCTAAACTTAGGTACTACTTGAGCTAGCTTGTGCTTGTTCCCAGTATATACAGAACATCACTGTTTTCAATGAAACTATTTTTGTTTCTGTGTACACATATCAGAATATAATTAGCTTTATCTGTAATGGTTCTAAGAACCCGCGAGCAATAAGCCGGGTGCTATAAGCACTATCTCGGAATATCATCACAAAAATAATAAAAATAATA